CAAATCTACCACCAAAAACCTCTTAACACAACTATTCTGTCAACTTTTTCTGCCTAGGTACGTCCCTCAGAGAAATGGCCGGTCGGCTCCTGCCCTGTAAGGTTTTTCTTCCATCTGGAACACATACTCCACACAGTGCCATAACAGCACTGATCTTAGGCAGCATCAATTCTCCTCTCCAACTGAAAAGCCATCTGCTGCTCGCATCTGCACTGGTGACACACCAGAATGTTCAGCTCCCAGTTAATGGGGATTACTGGGGAGCCAGAACTGTGCTGCGAGTAGACCACACCTCTCCGATATTTTAACGCTTTAATCTTTCTTAATGGGCCTGAAACTGCTTTCATCTTATTTACATTTAACACCATTTATTTTTCAAAACTTTTATTAATGATCCCGGCCCAAATGAAAAGGAAAATTTCAATATGCACTCACATGAAATGAAAGGATCTTGCAAAATTAAATCTTTTGCATCCCACACCTGGATTTTACTAGCCTAGAGCTTTAATTTGAATGAAAAAGAAAGGTTTTGCCTGTGGATTTTTTAAGAAGATTCAGAGGCCACCACTTGCTTGAGTAGCACCTATAAGATTGTTGGACACCAGAGGGCTCCATAGCACTCATTGATCTGCCAAACAGATTTCGGTTTCCAGACAGGGACACAGAGAAGGATCCATTCGGTGTGCTGTTTGAAGCTAAGGCTGCTTGAGCCCTAGAAGGAAAACTGCCTTAAATTTTAACAATTAATTTATGTATATAAAATTGCCAAACAATAAATGAAGTCTTCCAAACTGTGCACATACTAAGCATTCATGGTTGTGTACTTCATTAATCCAGATGTTTTCTGGATGTTAGTAGGTAGCTGCTGCTCACACTGTCATGTTTCTCCTAAGCCAGATACTGAGAGGAGAAAAAATTTGCAGTGCCACAGAGCACAGCAGCTGTACAGGGCACTGGTATCAGCCACATGCAAGCAGAGCTCTCAGAACCTTACCTGCACCCCTATGTTTGTTGCTGTCTCTGAAGATTTTGTCATCAGCCATAAATGACCTACATTTTAACTATTGTGAAGCATTTTGTTACAAGGCCAAAGTCCACCTGAAATAAACAAAAGGCAAAAAGGTAACCCATTCTGAACGAGATTTGATGGTGGAATGGTCCAAATGTTTTTTTTTCCATTATAAGCAGAACACCATTTTACTGTGTGAACCATGTAGGACTTTGGGAAGAAAACAGAGTAATCTGTAGCTTCATATAACTCTCTTCCATTTTTCAGGATGACTTTGGAGTACGTCCTTGTGATACACAACCCAGCTTACACATTTTGTAATGGATGATAAACCATTGGCCACCAAAGGATTTCAAAAGGCAGTGATGTTGAAGAATGCTTAACTTGCATTATCATGAATCAGAGGCAGAAAGGATCACTACACAGCACTTCTCCAGCTTACACGCTGAGGAACAGCAAATCAGAAAAGACTCAAGGCCTGCAACTACATGTGCAAAACCCATAGGACATACAAGATCCAGACTTGTTTTGGCCAGAGTAGGGTTGTTTGACATTTCCCACAACTAGATTAACAGTATCTAAATGAGAAATGAAGCACTGTGATGATTACTTTAGGCAATCCTTTCAGAAGTCAGTGTTACAGCCAACTAATTACTAGAATAGTGATGCTTTGAGGAGCTTGATAGTTGCAATGAGCAATATATTGCTGGGCAGAGGAAATGAACACTGCTGCAAGATGATTTGTTAGCCAGTTGCACATCTTCAGTATAACAGTAAAAAAAAAAAAAAAAAAAAAAAAAAAAAAAAAAAAAAAAAAAGCACTTGGCTTCTCCAGGTTAGGAACTCCACTTAAGTGTAAAAGATGGAGCTCTAAGTCAAACACCCACAAACCAGCAGAGAAGCTGCCCTAGTTTTGACCTACCAGCTTAGCAATGAAGCTGTATTTTCCATTGTCTAGTTGTGAACAGGGCCAAAACTTGAAGTTACATTCTTCTCTGGAATTTGAGAAGCAAGAGCTTAAGATTTCCTCTCCACTGAGTTAGAAGAATCGATTTGGACTGTAGATATTAGAAATATGAGATACAAGCAATATAGAAGAACAGCAGGTAATAAAGAAGGAAAATTAGCCCAACCCTTCCAATGACCTGACAGCTTGAGAAGAGCTCACTCTCTCACCAAAGAGATGCTACCCCCTTAACTGCTAACCCTTAAGTGAGGTTGAGGAGAGGTGGTTCCAGGCTCCACTTCTTCTTGTCACTCAGTTACATTGCTTGCACCTGAGCTCCCTGGGTTAGTCATGTCTTCTCACCTGGTGTTCAACCATTGATTCAGATCATGACCTGGCAATTCTACTGCAGAGGTATCTGAAAGTACTCAGGCACGTTACCTAGTAGGAAAGAGCAAGAAGCCCCATCTCCTCAAATACTGTTTTACTGAAACACAGTTCAGAGGTCTTGAACTCCAAACAAAACAATAGTATTTATGTCTTCATAATACCCTGACACAGAAGCTACTAACAATTAAGTCGTGTTTGAGCAAAAACATAACCCTTCTGAAACAGCAAACTCCATTCCCCCCCTACACACACACAAAAAACAACAGTAGAAAAAAAAAAGTGTGCATGTAAAAAGGTGCAGTATATATTTATTTAGAATAAGTACTCAAAGACATCAAAAGCATACAGAGAAATAAGATTCTTGTTCCAACTAATCTTTCCCACTCAAAAAGTAATACAAGTTGAAGATCAAATTTACTGTTTGGCAATATAAACATTGAGAAAAGAGTATTTTCAGCAGGAGGTATTTTCTTGCATTTTGATTATTAGCTCACCTTGTGCCATATGACATCATCAGTTATAAAATGACTGAATAAAAAGTTGAAGACTGCAATTATTTGCACAAGTTAGATCATACTTACACTATTTTTTTAATAAAAAAACAAACCAAGCTAACCCATACATAGCACATGCAGCATCTTTAGATTAACTGTCTAGGTTTTCAACAGTAAAATGATTTTTTTTTTTCCTTTTTCAGTGCCTGTGTCCCAGTTTACACTTTTCCATTTCACTTTGAACAGCAAAATTCAATCTATTATGTGAGATAACACATTAAAAAGTTGAAACCCTCCACTTTACTTTCTCTCAAATAATTGCTTTCAAAGGTAGATGCTGAGATAACTGTTACGCAGGGATCAAGAGTTTTGGTGTTTATAGTAGTACTGTGAAACTTGTAAACAGTTCAAAAAGTGTTGAGGGTTGTTGAACCACCCAGCAAGAAGCCAAGCACCCACTCCCAACCCACTTGCTGTCAGGGTCAGCACGGGGAAAAGAGAAAGGGAAAAGAGAAAGCCGTGATGCCATGCAAACAAATTTTGGCAACTGCCCAAATCCTGCTGTGCTATCAGTACCGTGTCAGCTACAAATCCAGAACACAGCACCATATGGGCTGCTGTGAAGAGAGCAACCTCATCCCACTCAGACTTTGTACAGAAAGAAACCCCAACTCATCTATTGCATGAGATGCTGCATCACAGCTCATTCTATGGGAGATCAAAACTAAAAGCAAGTCATCTATTGCAAAATGCTTTCAGAGTATAAAATAGCGTGTCAATTTTAACCTAACTCCCCTACAATCAATACAATTCTTAACATTTGCAGTAGGGGCTTTGGCCAGCGCATTTATAAAATAAATAAGCAGTAAGGCCTTCCCCACACATACAAGCTTGAACATAAGTTTGTGGGAGCCATGTTATTAAAACTGATATTTTCCTACAATAGTTTGTATATTGTTATTTCCTGTTTACTCCCAGCAGGTTGTAAACAGGAGTTGTAGGAGTTGTACAGTAGAGATGCATAAATAGAACGATAAATAACCGAAGCTAACAAGGTGCTCAGAAAGGTAGCTTGATAGCGTCACCGCTGCACATGAAAACTCATAATTAGTTTACAATGCTTGCTTATTCTAGTTCCAGGAAGAAAATATTCAACATATAGCATCAGAAGCTGCAGTTTCCATGTTGCCTCTTCTACCCATAAGTAAATATCTTGACAGCAGGAGTAACAACAGCCTGTGGAAGTCTGCAGTCACAGTGTCTCTCCACAGAACCTGAGAGTTCCTTGACATTCGTAGGACTGACTGTTCATTAAACCCAAATTATCTTAAACAATGCTACTTCCAGAGACAGTAGTTTTTGTTCATCTACCATGAAACTCATTTCTGCTGAGAAACATGGACCCACTAAGAGCCTTCATGAGTTGAGAGTAAATGGCACTTCACTCTGCGCTACTTCCAAAGGTATTAAGGCAAAGACAAGCCTTTGGTAGCTCTTTGGGAAACTACTCCTCATCTCTGAAAAGTAATAAGGAGAGCCACTAGCAAGGTCTCCACAAGCAAAACAAAGGCCAACACAGACTAAGACTGCCCATACAAATAAACCTCAAGCATCAATAAGTGTTCAGCAGTTCAGTTTTACAGAAAAAGGCCACTCCTGCACTGCAGCAAGGCTCTGCCCAAGCAGGCCCTGTGCCAGCCCCATGGTGTCCATCCTGCAGGAAAATGACCTCACAGCAACTTCTTCTCATGCAGCAAGAGCTGCAAAGTTGTCTCCCCAGGCCTTTACAAGCAGCAATGCTAAGGCACAAAAAAATGAAAATTTATATAAAAAAAAAAAAAAAAAAAAAAGAAGAAGAGCGATAAAGGCCATGATTTCCTATGCATAATTTAAAGCAAGCCAAGGCTCCACACCCAAGCAAGCTGAAGCCCTGTTTAGGCACGTAGGAGCATAGTGAATGCTGATAGCTACAGCAGTGAAACTGAATAAGTCTAGAGATTTCTCTCTAATCATAGAATGACGTAAATTTGGAGAGACATAGAGCCCATCCAGTCCCACCCTGTGTCATGAGCAGGGCTGCCACCCTCCAGTTCAGGCTGCCCAGAGTCCCATCCAACCTTGCCTTAAGTGCCTCCAGAGATGGGGCACCCACAGCTTTCTGGGCAGTCTGTGCCAGTGCCTCACCACCCTCTGAGTTAAAAAAAATAAAAAAATAAAAAATACAAATGTCTTCCAATGTCTCTAATACACACAGGATACCCAGATTTCGGGTCCTGAAACACTAACAAACTTGAAAATTTATATAAAAAAAAAAAAAAAAAAAAAGGGAAAAAACCCTCAAAAATTTTGTTTGAGGTATTAGAAATTTTATAGCATCTGCACAGCTCTATTGCTTGCCACAGGCCTTGATGCAGATGTGCTTAGAACAACCAGAATTGCTCAGCTTAACTCCCTGGAAAACAAAAAGCAGCAGCATTCCAGCTCCCCTTCCTCTCTCCTGCCTTTCCCCACAGCAGGTCAGGCTAGCAGCAAACATGGTTATCCTCTATTCCACAGTGCAAGCAAGCTTACTTGTAAATATATCTAAAAAAAAGTTTTAAAACTGCAAAATAAATACAGCTATTACTGTAAGTTATGCAGCAAAATGTAATCATGCCTAACATTTGGAATGGCACATGTAGTGTTAGTTAACTTATTTTTCTCTTTAGCATAGCAAATTTCAGAGGCCCATTTGAATGTTACAGGGACTTGCACAGAAGTTAACAGATAGGTTTACTTTCTGGGCTTTTTACTCCCAGTCATAACAAAATAATGATCATCTTGTTTGCTCTTCAGAAGAGGCCCTTTCGATGCACTAGGTGCTCCTTTGTTACAGGCTGTTGCTGATTTTCCTTTAGAGAGAGGTTTCTTCGCTGCTGGGATCAAGTTTCCGTTGGCTTGCAAGTCTGTGCTTGAAGGCTGACTTTTTGTGGAGGGCTGCACTGCTTTTTTGGTCACTGCCACTTTGGCTGAAGTTTGAGGAAGCCGCACAACAGAGAGTGGAGTGCGTTCAGTAGGTTTGGATGAGGAGGGTCCAACCTCAGGGGGCTTATTGACATTTTGGGTCTGTAAATGCTCTGTAGGTGGCGTTTTACTGACAGATGCTATTAGATTTTTGCTTCTGGATCCCAGTGTAGGTGGTGACTTCAATGATTTACTAACTGCCAGGGAAGGTACAGAAGCTGAGTGCTTTAGGATTGAAGCAGTCTTCAGGTTCCTTGCCAGATCAGAAGGTGTTTGTGGAGCTTTCCGAGGATGCTGAGACCCAGTTCCTGATCCCTGAGTAGTATTTTCAGAAGGAGATTTCACATAGAGCTGCTGGGAATGTGCAAACTTGGCAACAGCACGCAGATTGCTAACAGGTGGCTGGGCTGGTCTCGGAGCAACAGAATTTACCTTGGTTTTAGTGACAGATGCAGGTTTAGATTTAGAGGGGACACACTTCTGTTTCGAAGCCAATGTTTCACTTGTTGCAGGCAACTGAGACAACTGCTTCTTAGATGCTGAGAGCGCAGAATGCATCCCTGTTGCTGGGGAGCCTTGGGCTGGGGCAAATCTCACCTTTGGAGCATCAGGGGAGCGAATACGTTTGCGTAATGTTTCAGAGTGAACAAGAGCTGCTCTTGATCTTGTAGATGAAGAACTCTTGCTTGCAGGCAGTGAAGGAACAGGAGCTGGCGAGTGGTGCGCAGGAGATGCCAGTTTCTTTGAGGTGCCCATCAATGGTTTGAAAGGAGACTGAGCATCTGCTAGTTTGGGTCTGGCTGACAACAACTTGGCAGCGGAGGATGTGTGCACTGGCACCTTCGGTGAAGTCAGGGCAGGAGACTGAGGATGTTTAGACAAAGGCTTCTTAACGGTTGCCCCATGGACAGCTTTTAGGGCTGGAACAGGAGTAGGAGGGTTTGCTGGTTGCTTTTGAAACATACTGACAGCTGACATTGGGTTCATGACAGGAGGTTCCTGAATTCTGGCTGTTGAGTTGGAGATATGGTCACTGGTGACTCCCTTCTGAAAAGCCAAGATTTTTTGCTCCAGAGTTGCAAACTGAAGCACTCGGCAGGGATCATACTTAAGCAGAAAGCCTTGGAGTGTGTCCCATCCTCCACCAACACGGACCATCACATGTTTGCCGTGGAGCATCTGAGAATGGTGGGAACGGAAGACTGTTAGAAACTTTGTTTTATGCAGCACCAAGTCTTCACCTCATATTATGAAATATTTAAATTGATATAGGATCTCCTTTCTTATGGAGAATCATTTTAAGAAAAAAATCTATGGAATAACTAAGAAATTTATACTTCCCAGATCTTTTATTTGTTTTTCCTGCAGAAGGAGTCATTACGTGTCAGGAAACAATGAAAGCGTTTATGTAGAAAATATATTAACCATTCTGTCAGCATCCTTACTTAGTAAACAGTTTTAGATGCCAGTTTTGATCAATTTATGAATGCTTTCATTTTTTCAATCCCACAAATTCTTATTCCTGAAGAACTAGCTCAGCTAGCTGCAAATTATTTATAAACCCATGTGTATGAATTTTGAACAAGCAGTGTTTTCAGGGTATTATGTTGTATTACCCTTAGGTATACTACAAACCACTACTGAAATTTTACAAACAAGAAAAGCATTAACTTTCTCAGTTCAGCATGGTTCTATCCGTAAAAATCAGTGGTTGTAAGATCTACTTAGACAGACCTGCTTTGAACAGGATTGAATCATGTGGTATCCCTAAATTATTCTGTAAACCTGAAATAATACCACAAAAATAAGGTATTTCACTTAAAAGTATTTCTCTCCCATTTTGAATGTAGATTTTAATATTGAGAAATTACTTACTCGTATGAATAATATTTTATCTCCCAGTCTATAACGTCCCTCAGATAAGTATTCAATGGAAAACCGATGGGAGCAGCTGCAAGGTGGATCTTCTGCTATGTGTTTAACCTAATTGTTTATATTGAAAGCATGTATTAGTATTTTAACAGAAGCATATGTTTAACTGTTTACTGAGATTCCATTATCTCTTTTGTATTAAATATTTTCTCCCCTTAATTTAAGGAAACATGAAAATTTTATTCCCTCACAAGAAGAATCCTAGCTACGTAAAGCTTCAAAACAGAGAACAAAAGACTGAATAAAACTGTACATGCAGTCAAATATTTTGGAGTCATCTAAATCCAATTTTCACGATTTCTTCAATTTTAATGGATTTCTATTTTCTTTTTAAAGATTTGTCCATCAATCTGTCTATTATTTAGTAGTATCAAATTCCAGACAGAACCCTTTCAAGAAATTGAAATGCAAGTACCTGGATCTCTTTTGTGACTAAATCAACACTCAACCGGTTCCATTGCTACACCTTATCCAGGGGCACTTCAGCATTATCCCTCACTTTTCAGAAAGCTTTTAAGTTAACGTTCTACATGACACCCAAGAAGGAAAACAATGAACAAAAGAGAAAGATAACCCCCAAATAAGTCTAGAGTTAGAGAGGATGTGTCCGTTAAAGCCAATTAGAAGCTTCAAAAAATTAGAAGGTCAAAACTTTTGGTAAGCAGCAAAACTAGTGAATTATCAGTGTGGAGATCTGGTGGCTGATGCTCTGGAAGATGCAAAAGCTTTACATTACAATACAAAGGACTGTTTAAACAAGTTAAATTTCAGTGTATTCACTGTTGTTCATCATTTCTTTCAGGCCAATACATAAGTTGTACAGGTCATTTCTTTTCCTGCATACGTTAATTTCCAATTAGTATGGCTATGCAGGTTTTTTTTCCAAAGCATTTCATCAAATCTTGCTTTATGAAGTTCACGTTAGCCATAGCATATTGATGCACAACACTTCAATGAGAGGCAGCTCAAAGCAGCAGTGAAAGAAGGGGCAAATCAAGGTAAGTTACATGCATTGAAGCATTAACTGCAAAATATACACAGTAGTATTTTTATAACATTAAAACAAAGTTTATTGTTCAAAGAGGTATATCTACTTCTGTTTTCTTTCTAAGACTCACAGATATTAGATGAAAATTGGCCTCTGTCATATCACACAAACACTAAGCTAAGAGTTTAACTTAAAGACCACAATAAGTAAGTACTTACTGCCTCATGTAGCTCCCCATGGTGACAACATGACTTTGCTGTGTCAACAGGTGACGCTGGTCCAGAGGTCCTTAGCAGTGTTTCTTCTAGCTCAATTTCCTTCTCCAGTTTTACAAGCACAGGAGGTTCAACTCCATATCTCAACACAATTACATAAGTAGAAATTTTAATTAATAATTTGATAAAGAAAACAAAGATGTGATTATAACAAGCAAGCAAAATTGTGAGTAGTTAGACTAAGAGTGAACAGCAGTACAGGAATAACTGTCTTGATAATCCAAAGAAAAGGAGGACCTGCAAGTTTCTAGAAGTTCTCACCAAGGTGGTCCTAGAGCTACCAGGGAAGGCAATATCAATACTGCTAAACCTGAAAAACAGTTAATCTGAGTTGGACAGGAACTACCTTAAAGCTTTCTACTCTGTGCTGGAAACAAATTAGAAGTCTATTTAGAGAACAATTAAGAGTTGCTTCGTATTTAAAGCTTTCTTAAAACTTCCAAGAAACTTAAAAAATTAAAGACCTTCAGGACTATTCATCAAATTCTTCCAAGATGTACACATATCTATAAGATGAAGGTAACATTTCAACATATGGTCATAAGAAGCAGTGTGGATCAGCACCTCTCCATGAAAATAAAGCAATAAATATTTGTACAAAATACTGATACAGTGGTTGTAGAGGTGCTACTCATTACTTTCTGCACATAATTAACATCTACTGCTTTGCATTTAATGGCCACAGACCATCTTAGCTTTTGATTAATGGAATACATTCTACAGTTTCTATTTAAAGTCACCAATGGATCAAATACCTGGATACAATGCGTCCAATTTCCAACAAACAAAGATACACTTGTCTTGGATCCTTGTGCAAAACTGAAAAGGAATCAAAAATAAAAGGAAGTTGTAATCCATTTTTATTGTGGGAAGGCCTCTGCAATTGGATAAAGAGAATAAGGAGCAGATGACTGCAATGCAGCCATCATTCTGCTCAGAGGCAAGAAAGAGAGTGGAAACCTTTGTAAGAAAGGGGTGAGGATAATATTGGTCAAACACTCAAACTCAAATAGCAGGTATTGGAAGTGATCACACTGAAGCAGAAACATTAGCTCAGATACGTTATTAGCACTTTTGTGCTAGGCTTTGCTTCTCCACAACTCTGCCTACATTCACTGCACAGCACAACTCATTTCAGAACAGCTCTAACAGCTGTATGCACTTGATCACGTAGGCGCATGAAATCATGAGCTCCTGAATCTTGAATCATGAATACAGACAAATCCTGAAGCTGAAGAATGAGAGGGAAAGATGAAGTGATAGCCAAATTGTATGCAGATGACTCTGGCAGTTGCCTTGGGTTTTCTTGACAACTTTGAAATGAGAGCACTCAATTGTTTTTAATGCCACTCTAAAGAATGGAAGAGCACAAGAAAACAAGGTCTATTTTAGGTCTATCTTGGTTTTGCTTCTTGCAGAGCCTAGGGAAAAATAAAGGGACAGAGAATAGTTTAAAACATCACACAAGTAATTACTTCCTCCTCAGCCCCCACTTAAACCTCAAAGTTGAGACTCTGTCAACAATTTCTAAGAAGCCCACAAACAGCTGTATGAATGTTGTAGAACACAAATGAGCCTCATGCTTTCTTAGCCATTGAGGAATGCTGCCCAATAACTCAGAAACCAAAAGCTAGAAAAAAATGTCATTGAGCTTGCTTCACTCTACACACACGCTATTGTTCTTCACACACCATTAAGCATAAGAAATGGGAAAAACTGTAGATAGAATTTTATATGGTGTACCATTTAGATAAACTTCCTTCATGCTGTGCAGTCCAATATTAAACAGAACATGAAAATTCACTCTGAAGAGAAACCTAATGAGCCAGCTCCATATTTACAGGTTAAACCTAATATCTTTCTGACATTCAGCTTGGTAAGTAAAATAATTTCACTTTAAACAAGACTAAAACATTTACTAATGTATAAGCTGAGCATGAAGTCAAATGTTCTTGCTTACATAGAATGCCTTGTGTTGGAAAGATCATCTAGTTTCACAAAGTTATTTAATCTCCTCCAACTCGTAATTCTACTTATTAAAGGATCTGATTATGATAGCTAATTCAACAGAAAGTTGACCCAGCCATAATCCAAAAGGTACTAGAGATTTTTTCATCTTTTTTTTTTCATAAGTGGTTTTGTCAGCTGTGAGAGAAAAGGCATAATTTGCCTGAATCCATAAGAGAAAAATTCAAATATACCCCTAGCAGAAACCAAGACGATGTTAAAGGGCACCTCATAATGGCTATTCACTCCGATAACTCAGGAACAATTTAATTAATTTAATTTTCTCCATGGCCACCCACATTTATCAGGAGGTGTTGCTACACATGTTTGACATGAAAAAGGCAATTGCCAGGTTGTCTTTCCCCTATTTCATTCATAAAGAACAGCTTGAAAGTTTGATGGAGAACATCAATGGAAAGAATGTGTCATCAAGGAGACTTCATGTCGGCTCATTTCAACTGCCAAATAGGCTCACAGACGATATTTATGCCACACAGCAAGCTTGTGTCATGAGTTAGAATCAGACTTCAAAACACTTGACGATGAGCAAAAGCCACAGCCTTATGAAATCCTGTCTACTTATCTCAGGGAGGCTAAACTGGTTTTAGTTACCCAGCCAGTTAAAGGAACTCAGATGTTTAAGCAGTGTAATTCCTGTAAGTTAAAATTAAAAAATACTAGAACTAATTTTCTTGTATCTCAATTCTCCCTCTCGTCTGTGTTTTGTGGGTCTGAAAAAAAGATATGGTCCCTAGTTAAATCAGAATGAGACAGATGCAAATAAGGATGTTTTCTCAAGTGCTTTAAAAGATGCGTGATGCAGTAGGGAAGGCACAGGCAGTCCAACTAGCGAGGAGAGTTTAAAAGAAAAGCAGCTAGTCAAACCAGCACCTCCCATTTAAATAGCATTAAAAGGCACAAAGACTTCAAGAAAATCTAGTAAGCTTTGTGACATATTCATATGATTATTGAAAACAAAGGATCTTCGCATTTTTTTTTTGCTGTTCTGCTTCAGAGGAAGATTTTTCTTCCCTCTGTCTCTCTCTCTTTTTTTTTTTTTTTTTTTTTAAAGTATTTTACTTGCCAAAGAGAAGTTTATATTAATTATTTTTCTAGAGACATAATAATTGGTAGAAGAGCATTACATTATTTCCATACAATGGAAGCAGTTTCTCTTAATTAACAGTTTAAAAAAAAAAAAAGTATTCCTTCTGGAATTATCTGTCTAGTAGTTGGTTATTGCAAGGCTGTGCACTGTGGCAGGCATAAAAATAAATATTGCCAACTGTGTGTATAACTATCTTGTTAAGACAGGAGAATACACATGGTTTATAGTTACACCAAGTAAGACTTGAACTAAATGTTAATTACCAACAGACTGTTGTCATTTCAGCCCCAATGCTCTGATGCAGTTACCAAACTTAGTAGTCATAAGTGCATTATTCTGAATGCTTTCTCCAATAGAATTTTCTCTAATACTAAATAAAGGATCTTATCATGAGTTGACTCCATGGCCCTGTGGTCTTCCAGCGTACAGAAAGAATGAGGAGTGGAGAAGGGAAGGGACAGCACAACTTCTGTTTCTTGGCAGGGCTTTTTACAGAAGAAAAACACATGAGTTCACTGCACAGCTATCACTACCCTTCTTCATCTCACGTGGCAACTTCTAGTAGCCTGGAAAAACACCCTTCTCTTTAGAGAAGTTACTGAACTGATATTTCAGTGCTTTCACATCAAACTCTGCCCTAAAAATAAATGTTTCACAAGACAGACGCAGTCACGACAAAAGCTTTGTAGGACTGCATGCAATAGTTCTCCCTGGCGAGGTAGTTCTCCACATGCGGACCATGAAAAGTGTTGCAAAAAGGTAGATTTACCTAAACCTTCAGATTCAAAGAGGTAAGTCTCATCAACTCCAATGGCCCTACACCAGTTAAGAAAGTTGGCTGTGTTATCTCTGGCAAAAAAAGATCCTGATGGAGCATCCTTCTTACATGGAACTTTTCTCATTGGAAAATTCTGGCAAGAGAAGAAAACAAAGTACACTGTGCACATAAACATTGACAACAGATTTCAAAGCACATTTTCAGAAGAAAGAAAAAAAGCCAAATTTGGAGTACAGAAGCAGTGGTTGGTATTTATTATTGGTTCAAGAAAAACAACATGCATTCTATTAAAAAAGCTACTCTAAAGTAGATGGTATTTAGTCTTACCCATGTTAATAGTGACAGAATTACAATATTTAGCTCTGTAACCTCTCCCAAAAAGTTGTCTATACAGTTGCTTCCCCATTTCCCCCTCTGCTGGGTTATATCTGTTGATTTCACATGTCTAGATAATGATTCCTTCCTCCCAAGTTCTATTCATAGCCACACAATTAGCACAGACAGAAAACCCCAGATCAACTAAACTTAAACTTAACTGCAACATTTTCAAGCTCAGTTTAGAAAACAGAGGAAATAATATGGGAAAAAGGGACAATATAGTTTTAAGATAATAGTCTTAAAACAAACACTAATTTACTTTAAAGTTAAACAAAAAGGTTTGGACAAAAATACAGAAGTTGCCTTCCTTACTAAAGTGTTTATCTATGTATTAAAAAATTAAATATAACTCACCCTTAAATTATTTGAGCTACATGATTTTTTAATTGTGTTTTGAAGAACACCAATCAATTGGCAGAGTAGTACTCCATTATCAAGTTCTTCCAGCAGTTGCTCTGCTGTGACTTCTATTCCTAAAGAAAAAAAAAGAGCCAGTACTGGAATTACTCCACAGAACACAAAGAAATTTCGTGTGAACTCAGAGGCATCTCCAAGAGTGTTCCAGTGCTAGACTTCAGTTAAACTAGAGCCCACAAAGAAGAGAAGCCTGATGACCAACACTCAGCACTGTTGTTACTTATGCTCATCTAACAGAGGCTGACTAACTTTAATAGTTCTTCTCATCTATGGGCTAGACCAATAAGTTGATGCTGAAATAATAAAATAATGAAAGCTTTTAGAAAGAAATTTCCAAAACATTCATTCTAAATAAATACTTGATTGTCCAGCCCAACCATATGCCACTGATATCTCCACACAATAAAAGAAAAAGGGATTTCAAAGACTGAAAATTAGTAGAAATATAAATAAAGTAAAATCAAATATTCACTTAATTAGACTAACAAGACTCAGAACTATAAATTAGAAGGATTAATCTAATGAGGTTCAATGCAGCAAAATGTAAGATTTTGCACTTGGGCCAGAGGAATCCCAGGCGTCTATACAGACTGGAAGGAGTGGTCCTTGGGAGCAATCCAGCAGAAAAGGACCTGGGGGTCTTGATGAATGAAAAGCTTAACATGAGCCAGCAGTGTGCTCTTGCAGCTCAGAAAGCAAATGGTATCCTGGGCTCTATCAGAAGAGGGTGGCCAGCAGAGACAGGGAGGTGATTGTCTCCCTCTACCCTACTCCTGTGAGCCCCATCTGAAGTACTGTGTCGAAGTCTGGAGCCTCCAGTACAAGAAGGACAGAGAGCTGTTGGAGATGGTCCAATGGAGACCCACAAAGATGATGAGGGACTGGAGCACCTCCCCTACAAAGACAGGCTGAGGGAGCTGGGCTTGTTCAACCTGGAGAAAAAAAGGCTATGGGGTGACCTCATTGCAGCCTTTTGGTACCTAAAGAGACCCTACAAACAGGAGGAGAATCAACTGTTTGAAAGGGTAGATAACAGCAGGACAAGGGGAGATGGTTTTGAGGGAGGGAAGACTTAGGTTGGATGTTGGGGGAAATTCTTTACAGAGAGAGTGGTGAGGTGCTGGAACAGGCTGCCCAGAGAGGTTGTGGATGCCCATCCCTGGAGGTGTTCCAGGCCAGATTGGATGGGGCCCTGGGCAGCCTGGTGTAGTATTAAATGTGGAGGTTGGTGGCCCTGCCTGTGGCAGGGGCGTTGGAGATTCATGATCCTTGAGGTCCCTTCCAACCCTGGCCATTCTGTGATTCTCTGATTCTGTAACCACCTTACCTCTAACAATTGGAAACTAATAAGATCTGAAACCAGCACATGCATTTTTAATGCAATTCTTCTAATCACTCAGGCTCAAATGCTATTAATATTATGGATATTAAGTGTCAGTGTTGAGTTGGATATTTGAATGTGCTTTGAAATTTATTAGACAATGATTATTTTTAACCTCACCCAGCAAGCCAGAGAGCCAGATTGACAGGTCTTCTTGCATAGGCACCAATGTTGCTTCATGCCGCACAGATATCCACTGGTCGTACAGGCACACATCTGCCAGACCTGGGCCGTGTCTGGGAGTCAGAGGACTTCGAGGACTTAAAGGAAGGTCATCTCCAAACCACACCTGCAGGAGATTTCAGTATGCGCAAGCTGTAATATTTGCAGACAGAGGATGGACTCTCACGGTTCTGAACAATACATCTTTAGCATAATTCAAAGAGTAAGCTTTAGTTTCCCTTCAGACAGACACACCAAACCAACACAGCAGTAATCAAGAATGGTACAGTTCTCATTAGTAACTCCGGCATCAAAAGCACTACCACGTTCATTCTCTTGTTCTCAGTTACCCTATTGTGGCTATAAGCAGATCCTCTTTAGTAGGCAAACAAAACAAACATTACTCATTTATGCTGTCTTCTTCCTCCTCACCACATATTAATACAACCTGTAGTTTATCATATAACTCATTATAGACTACTGACTTCTGTGATCAATCATTTCAGGTGCATTTAGAGTTTAAATCATTAAAGTGATGATACTAAAAGAAGAAACGTGAGCATAGACAGCTCTTAAACATGAATACTTAGCATTTCTCTTAAGGATCCCATGTTTTCAGACTGATGGATACCTTCACGCTTGAAGAGCAGGATCATGCTGAAACAGCATGGATAGAATTCCCAAAGAGAAAGAGTCCTTCCAATATTCTTAGCTACTTTCTTCAGCTCAGGAGGGATGTGTATCTAAAATGTAGACTTCTATTTTTGTAGCAATTTACTTATATGCAGGTTTTTTTTTGTTTGTTTGTTTGTTTTTAAATCAATAAAGTTTCAAATATTCTTATCCTTTAACTTAGAAAACTTCTCAGGAAACAGCACTTAGAAACTGAAAGTATTGCCTAAGTGATTACAACATGGGTTACCTACCTCACCACAGTGCTCCACTTGTTGAAAGGGAAAACTCCTATTTATTTATTTGTTTAAAAGGCTAGAGATTATTCTGGGGATTTTATCATTTAATCTGCTTCAGGGTAGATGTTTACATAAAAACATATAATATAGAATTCAAACATTACAAAAGACATTTACCTGAACTGCATTCTGCATGGTCACCAGCATTTACATCAGTTTCTCCCTCTGGGGAAAGAGAAGTTTAAAGACAGTCAGTCCCGCTTTCTAAAACATCCCAATAAAAACCCACCAGGCAAAACACGAGCAAGTCTAAGAAGACACAGATGCAAGAAAGGAATAGTTATTTTGGTATTTAAGGTGTTAATTCAGTATTCAGGCTCCTTAGGCACTCTGTCTCCAAATAAAGTAGTAGTTATTACAGCTTAAAGTAGCAACTAACTTCAAGTGCATAAATAATGCTCAAAGGGTTGCATTGGTTTAAGGAGCTGTAAGGCACTTGCTTTTCCAAAGCAATACTCAAAGAGTTCTCAGACTTGGCATGGCTGGCACTTATTCTTCCTTTCCAACCTACCCCAAGCATATCTTGCACATGCACAGAGACACACACACACATCCTGAGCTTACATAAAATACTTCAAAGATTAAGAACAATCTTGATGAAATCACTTCTAAGAATGAGATTTATTCTTGCATAGATACACAAAAGAAATTAATAGTTTTATTAATTTCTATATGGATTTTGATGTAGATTTCCAGGCAGCTACCATGAACGTAAGTTTTTGATGCAATGCTGCAAGCTATAAGGACAATGCCCTTGCAAAACAATCCTTAAGGAAAGTTTTAGATGCAATTAGGTCAACACTTCCCCATTCCTTTTCCATCAGTGTTTTCAACAAGAGGAAAAAACAGCACAAACTCTTCACCAGGCTGGGAATCATGAAGTCTCTCCTTACAGACTCGAGGTTTAGAAATGTGCAGCATTAGCTACACAGGCACTTATTGGGAGGAATTTCCTCAGCATAGTTCTCCACAATGGCAGCAGAGTGAATTACTGCCTACAGACACATACCTGTATATGTCTTGAAGCCAGTTAAAAACAATTTTCTTGGTGCATTAGTTAAGATCAGGCTGGAAATTAGACTGCAGACAGATGACATCAATAGTGAAACACACATTTTCCTTTGAAACTTAATAACTCCTCACTCCTGCTCCAGATGCAATCTCGCCTTCCTAGACAAAAGGCCCATCTCAGAGGATCTAATACTTCCACATA